GAAATTTCCATACCTCAGCACATTCAAATATGAACAGTCAAAGAACACAATACTAGCATTGTTCTTCACACCTTCTATAGCACACCATGTCTGTGTACCCAACAGACTCATGCATTAAAAATTATCCAGCGCTGGCACACATTCCTTCCTGGTGGTGCCAGTAAGCCTTCATTCAGCGATTTTAAGTGCTATGCACAACAATTCTACATCTAGACATTTGAGTTTCATGTAGACGCCCTACCGTACTAAGGTACTATAGGAGTATGTGGACAGCTTCACGCAGTGTCAGTGCCACACACGCCCATCCACTGCTCCAGCTGGTCTTCTACAGCCCCTGCCACCTCCAAGCACACTTTTCTTTCCAACAAGTGGGCGTTGGACTCCAGGGTCCTTTTTGAAAATCAGCTAAAGGCAATTGCTGGATAGCTGTATGTGTTGCTTACCTGACATGTTACTACGAGACTGCGGCCGTGCCCACCAGAACCATTAGCAATGTCTCAATGTTCTTACTGCAATACTATATCCTCTGAAATGGCCCACCTCGTGTGACCATCAGTGATAGGGGACAATTCACAGCAGATACAGTAGAGGAGCTGCTTCGGTTGAGTGTGTCCCACCTTCATCACTAGTCCCCATACCATCAACAATGAAATGCACGCACAGAGCACACCAACGAAACAATTGTAAACATGCTCTCTATGTATATGCGTCATCCAACCACAAGAACTGGGATGACTTGCTACCATTCATGACGCACGACTGTACGCACAACTGCCATGGCACACACTCAACAAAGTTTTCCCTTTCTTGATGCATGAAATTCCCCTGTAGCCCTTACCTTCTGCCTTGGGAAAGAGGCATGTCGATTGCTCGTTCATGCAGTTTGGCATCACAAGACAAATTGAGAGCATGCTACAACATTTGCCACTGGCCAGTAACTTATCCTCCCGGCAGTTTAACGTTGCTATGGACTTCTATACGGATACGCGGATTATGCCAAAAGTTTTTGGCCCCATATGACAGGCCGTTTTCTGTTCTCGAGAAACTCACAGAAATCACATACACAATGGCTCGCCTCATGAGAAGTGGAAGAAGAGCTGCTAAAACCCAGGCAGTCTATGTCGCTCATCTGAAGTTGTGCACACCAAGGTGAATCGATTAACTCGCACGGAGGGCTTCATATGCAAGGAGAGGGATATTTCAAGAACGTTGAAGACGAGTGAACGTGCTGGCTGCCCTGAGCTGCGGCTAGACAGAAGACAAAAATGTTGCGATATCCAACCCGTTGGCCACTCCTGTACTCACATTCACGAACTAATAAAAGGGACCCTTCAGTCATGCACATCATGGTCTTCTTTGTGCATAACCATAATATGAAGGTGGGTGACATAAGGGCAAGCTTGTTGAAGTAAGTCTTCATTAGCCAGCCGTCATGCTTGTGCAAAATCACAGATAGGCGGATGAGTTGGTCTGGCTTTATAATAAAGTAAAAAAAAAAAAAAGGACCTGGAAACTGAACTCCATTGGGCACATCCTGAGCTTCAGCACCAAATACTGGCTGTTCATAAAAGACAACTTCAAAGGCATATACATTGTGTCGAACCCGCTTATAACAATCTTATATTTACAATCTATAGGTTATAAAGACCATTTTTTGGTGCACTTTCGATTTTCCTATGCCACCCATGAAACAGCATCACGTGTAGCAAATTTTTTTCAAGGCCCTCTGCTTTTACAACGAACAGTTCAGATATGATCGCAGAAAAAATATGGTGCATACCAAGCTAAAACGGGCCTTCTATGGGGGTATTCACACGAAGAAGAAATCCTAGAGAGAGACATAGGGATAGCGGATCACGCAGCAACGACGTCAAGGATTAGCGAGTGAGCGCAACTTCTCTACGCCTGCTCTGAGAAGACGAGGACCTTTTCCTCGACAAGCCAAACTAAAGGAAAAACCTATGGACTTCATGTCAGACTATCCCCTTGTGGTGGCGGTAATGGCGGAATTTCGTGCAGGAGTTAGACCACATTGTTGGATTTACTCTGGCATAGCGCTGCAGTGCGCTGGTAGTTTTGTCGTCAGCAGGTGGTAAAATGGGCCATGCAAGCCACCAGAGTAGTCTGGTAACATTGGTCGCCACCTCCGGTCACTTCGCTCGTGTGTGGGGGGAACATTTGCAGGGAATGCTGCTAACGAGTTGATGTCACTAAGCTCCACCTTCATCCCCCAAGGATTTGTCCCCCGTCTGAATACGTACACCTTTAAGCATGAGAATGTCACTAGTTCATGCATGCCCCGCTAGTTTACTTGCCGCGAAAGTAGCCTCGGTCGGTAAATGCTGTAAGCTGACCACGGATGTTGTGAGCAAGGTAGCTTACTTTTCAGATATTTATTCAGCAGCAGAATGGTAGTAAAGAATGAAAAAAAGAAAGAAATAGAAAGTGGCATGAAGCCTTGTGGTCAGCCTTCTCACGGCAACCATTTTCGGCACCGTTCTCTAGAGCCAAGTCCACCTATGATGAACCTATGCCTTGGAATGATACAAAATGCAATAAGTGATGACCGTAATAACTTCTTGTCGTATTAAACTTCACTGTGTTGACACCACAATGTCTTTCTTCTTTTCCATAGCAGCAGGAGACTGATCAGTCTCGATAACTACTTCCACACAATTGCAACGAGGTCTCAAGATTGAAGGCCGAGTGGCAGCTGGCGATGCACGTGAAATGATGACCAATCACTGACAACCTTATCATAGTCATCTACAGCTATCTTCTCAGCCGCACGTGTGGTGTGAATTGTTCGGATTCACAGCGGTACAGGCAGTACAGGCCATAAAAGCGCGCGATGACGCCGTTTGCAAGTTCACTACCACCGCGCCGTGCAAAATAAACTGCATGTCGCTTTTTAGAAGTGAATGGAGCCCACTTGTGGCAGAGGCACAGGCACTGATAAACGTTGACGCACTGACAGCGATTGTATAGACCATGGAGGAAGGCATACTGAGTAGAGGCCGTCGCACTGTTACGTCGCATTTTGTGAAGCCAGACGTGAGAATGAGTAGAGAACTCCTTTTTACAAGGTTGGTGAAGCTTCAGCGGCCTGCGCATGCGCAACTGGCGCCAGTGAGATTAAGGGGAGCTGCTCAAGCGGATGTCGGACGCACCGGGCGGCAGTGCTACCACCATCTGATGAATGAGCTGGAAAAGTGGAACTTTTGTTCTGATTTAGAGCAAATGTGCTTTAATAATCCCTTGTAGAGTGCCTGTGTGCCACTCACAGTCTCATCACGGCCATATTGGGTGTCTACAATAAGCCTCCAGCTTTGCACTTCATGTTTAATCCACTGCACGCAAGTGAGCAACAGTGCATATTGGCCAGTTTATTGCCATGGACAGGCTGTTTCCTTCTGCAGATATGGTAAGTTCATGGTACGGAACATACAGCAACAGTGAAATGTTGTTTCGTCATGCTATTTAGCCAAATGAAGAGTCTCCAAATCATTCTCTGCCCATGTGTGCCACGTACATGCACACTAGTATTGTTCACAGCAGCGCGGGCCGGCCGACTATCACCATATCGAAAAAGCTTGGCCAAAGATGAAGTCATCGCGTGCAAAACATAAACAGGATGCTATAATTCAAACTATAAAGCACTTTACTGTGTCAGGCACATCTGTAATTCTTGACTCAGCAAGCTCCTATGAGCACACTGGGCCACTGCATTCCGATGGTAGTGACCATCGTACATGGAAGCAGCTCACCGCTGCCTCTCGCACTAAGAGCCATAGGTGCTGCCATTATCGTCTTGGAATTCTAGCCTTCTATCGCTGAGGCATGCGATGTCACAGTGCTATAAGAAAACAGCAAAGCTGCGGTGCAATTTCTTTAAAAGTGGTCGCAAGCTTCGAAAAACAAAAACGCTTTCACCGGCAACCAGTAGGAACTACACTTGCAGCCGCAAAGACCGTTCACTGTAGGCTTCCAACAAATTGCATCACCTTTGAAGCGTAACAGCTGCATAAAAATGAGCATTTAGAAGTCCACCCGGTTCTCTTAACAATGCAATGATATGGCTGGTGATGCAGACGGCACGAGACAATGGTGTGATCAAAGAATCCTACAAGCCACTGCAAAAACACGCCACTTCCGCCACACTTTTTGCCCTGCAGCTAGGATAGTGAGGGCCTCTCCTCAGCTTTCCTTGCTTCATAGGCGAAGTCGACGTGCCGACGCGTTGCTACAAAAAACCTAAATAAATATATCGATGGCAGCTACTACCGTTTACAAACATACAGTAAGTATATACGAAGGGACACTAGGACGTGCTGGGGTTGTAGGCAGATGTTCAGCAACTTGAATTTATCGCTTTCTTTTTTTCAAGGCTAGCGTTCCATTAATTTTTGGCATGGACACCCAACAGTAGAAAATTATTGTTATTACCAATAATATGTCATGCAGGCATTTCTGTAACCACTGTGTAGAACATCCAAAAGTTGACAGTCCAGCAGCTCCTCAAATTATAGTAACCCACATATTGTTACAGCAAATATTGTTGTAAGTGGGTTAGACTTATACCAAACTGTGTTGTAATCTCCAAACTAGAGCTTTCAGAATTCGATAATATTTTACTTGCAAAACTCTGAGTATGTCAGATCAACGCTGCTGGATCACACAAGGCTATAGATTTCCTTTCAAAAGGTGCTGCTCATAAAATTCCCCTGTTTTCAAGAAAGAAAAAGAATTGCAGGGCCTTTTAAACATACTAAATTTCAAGGTATCTTACCTACCTGTGCCTCTTATCTCCATGTGCTGCTGATTCTAAAACACTGCAGCTGCCTTGTGGCAGCTTCATAAAGATAGCTGTTGGGATATGCTCTTGCCCTCTTATAGCATTTTCGAACCATTTTTCTAAGCTTTGCAGTTCTCACAGCCCAGAAACTTTTTAATGTTGGTCATGTCAGTGCATACATGGCTCCAGATTAAAAGATGCTCACCCACTCAAATTTGTCATCGAGAGGTCGGGTAGTGGCAATATCTCCATGACCCTGTCATAAACAAAACAAGGCAAAGTTTCAGAACGCCAGCATCAGCTATGCATCATAGTGTAGTAAATACAGTGAAAGATGAACATTGTTATAATAAAATACACAGGAATTCAAAAAAAAATTCACAATATGTTAAAGAGCGCAAGTTAAACCAAGTCATTACAAACCAGAAACCCAGTTAAAGTTATTATTCAGTTTAATCCTTTGTTGAACACAACAAGGGAAGAAATGTAAATTGTTTAAAACAGTCATGGGCACATTACCAGTAAAAAGCAACAGTGTTACAGTTACAGCTACTTGAGCCAAAAAGTTAACTCTGTTACAGTAACAGTCACCGTGTTTCCAAAAGTAACTTGTTACAGTTACAGTTACGATAAAAAACCAATTACATTATTAGTTTTCAAAATAAGTAGTTGAATTAAGTGCCAAATAATCAATTTATGTTATAAAAACGTACTAGAAGGTACGGTAAGGGCATAAAGAGTGAAGACGATGTTCATTGACTATTTCCATCCATCCTCTGTGTTCTTCGAAGTGTATCAGACTCTCTTCAGAGAGTTTTGCATCTGCTGGCCATACGTTAGCATGGCCAGCAGAGACAAACTCTTCATTGGGACACGTGTCGCCAAACCTTAACATCTGCGGACGATCAGTGCGAGATCATCAACGCGTACGATGTGGTCATTATATCTGGGAAACGGTCAGGAAAGGCCTAAGAAACAAAAAGTTGCTAAAGGAAACCATGCAATGCGTTCTTAGACAGAGCTTGTTGAACACTGCTTGACAGGACATAGATGTGACCTCAACAATGTGATGACACTGGATCATGAACAGCAGGGAGGACAGACTTCTGGAAACGTGGTTCATTTTACCTGGCACACCGGCTTGCAACAGCGACTCTCTTTTTACATGCAGAGCATTTCTTAGTTGCAGGATGTCGCGCTTCGGTGTCAGCAGTGGCGCCGTCCACACCCCCACTATGCATGATCGCGTCTCGTGCAGAGAGGCGCATGCTCGCGTCTTGTGCCGGCCCAGGAAGACACCCGTAAAAACCAACGTTACTAGAATAAACTCAGTCTCAAAGCTCCATATCACCGCCAGCGCAGGAGAATGGGCCGTACCACGGTCCCGTGAACTAGTGGCACTGCTGTTTGATCTCGCGCCACACTCGGTGCATCCTCTGCTACGGCGGTGTACCGCGGCCATTCACTGCGCTGTTTCTTGCGCCGGCTTCCTTGTTGTACTACTGTTATCGCACTTAACCATTCATCATGCGCTTTCAGTCGACATTCTCGCGCACATTTGTGGACTGCTTATGTGGATAGACACAAGGTCTCCTGTATAGATTGGCCCGGATGTGTTCCTCATTGCCAGTTAGCTAAGAATCGATTTCCTGGCTATATTTGCACTGTCTGCATTCGGTTTAACCTCCAAGTACAGGTAATTCTGCGTGAAGGAGCATTTTCCACATAAAAATTTTATAACGACTACTACCGTTTCAGCCACTGTCATCTTGCCTAGGACGAAAAAAGGCCCAAAACGTCTGTAAAAGCCTCAAACAAATTGAGTTACTAGAATACAAAAATAATCTAGAAAAACAGTATTCATGTTTTGTACTAGTTAAAAAAAAAAAAGACTTTCTTGAAGAAACAGTATCCATGCTTCACATTGTTCATCAGACAAGTCTTCGTGACGGCTACCAATCAAAAGCAGAGTGCGAAATGTTACCACAACATCACCTCCTTTCTTGCATTTTCCACCTTTTCAGAAAGCTCTTAATTGGTTTTCTTGCAAAAACAAAGAAAAGCGAATATTCTCATCACAATGTAAATAATCACAACTCAAAAGATGCACTGGCAACCATACCAACTTTTCAAGCACATTCTAAAAGAGGTCATCAACCAGGGGGTATTCGTGAAAAGCCTCTCGACAGTTTTCTCATTTGCTTTTAATGTAGAAAGAAGGTGGCGTAAAGGATAATCTAAGCAGCCTTCTCAAAAACATCTCATCTGAATGAGTGCACTTTTGTGTGGTTTGGGCACACCTGCTCCAGAGGTACTTGTGAGAAGTTGTCACTTATTCAATTTTTTTACGAAGGCACCCACGGATGCAGTGAACTCATGGTGTGCTAGTTCCTGGTGCACTTCGCTGCACCGGGAAAAGACAACATGTGCCACCTGCTCTAAGATTCAGAAATGAGAACACTGCGATTGAGAAAAATATCTATTGCAGTAATACGAAGGAAATGTAAGAAAACCTGGTCAGTGGCAAAACACGACCACTTACATACAGTTGTGTTGTTTAATAAAAGAAATATATATTGAAGCAAAATTATTCACTGCTTTTAAGGCAGCGAGACAGTTGACAATTGATCGAATGTCACTGGGATGCAACTCTAAGTATCAACAGTGTTGCTCGTCGCGTGCCTTTCGTCTTGCTGTTCTACTTCTGGCGGCTCCTCCAAACTAGGCATTGAGCATTCGAGAGGCGCAATGCATTTAGAGGGAAAGGGGGCAGTTAGGTGCCTAAGCAATGACCATTTCGGCTTCGATATATGGGGCGGAATCGCTGGGAACTAACGCGGATGGGTACCGGGTGAGAGCTCCCACTTTCCGCGTGAGATCATAACTTCTTGTCCAGCAAAACAGGACGGTAGTGCGTTACGATGCCACCATTCTCACATTGAATGTCATAGACTTTGCGTCTGGCAGTGAAATTGCTATCTTCGCAATGCGAAGTTTAGTACTACCATTTGAATTCCGCCAGATTTCTTTAGAGGTTTGTCACAATCAACAATAAGTGGTTTATACCCCAATCAAGACTACATGATGGCATGCAAATGATTCACTTAACTGCAACGAGCATGTGGCACCCTGCCTAGCCTATTTTCATTACCTTGCCCAGTTTGGCAGGCAACCTTGGTCGTGCTTAGAAAAGAAACATTGACGAGCGCTGCTCGGCAGTTAGTAGCTCTTACTCCGCCATGTGTGTGGTGTTGTCCTTGTTAGAGAGCGGCGCCTCAACCCTCCCTTTCGACCATGGTCTTCGGGGCGGATCGTGACATCGGCGACGAGGATGGGATTCGAAATGCACCACCACCGGTGCCTTGGTGATTAGCTGTTTACTGTGCTAAAAGGCCACGTCCTGCTCCTTCTTCACGCCCAATGCTGGCCATCTCGAAGCAGAATGTGCACTGGCTGCAGATGCGCAGACAGGTTGGGCAGGAACCTCCTGTAGAAATTGATGAGGCCAAAGGTAGCTTTGCAGCTCTTTTTTGTTTCGGAGCTTCAGTGCCTTCAGAACAGCCTCATCTTTGCGGGGAGCCGGAGTTAGGCCCGCCTGAAAGATGACGTGTCCCAGGTATTCTACACTAAGAACCAGGAACATGCACTTCTCCCGCTTGAGTTTGAGACATGCATCCTGAAGTCGGGCCAAAACGTTGCGCAGATTCTGCATGTGGTCTCCATCGTCAATACCGGTGATGAGGATATCGTCCAAGTACACTGCCACGTGCCTCATGCCCCTGAAGAGGTTGTCCACCTCTCTCTGAAAGATGGCTAGTGCCAAGGCCACGCCGAAGGGTATAAGGGTATACTGGAAAAGCTTCATAGTAGTCGATATCGTCACATACTTTCGTAAGGCCTCCTGGAGCACCAACTGCTGGTAGGCGCCTCTGAGGTCAAGATTCGTGAATTTCTGGCCACCAGACAAAGCCGACCAGAGATCTTCAATTCGAGGCAGGGCGATAGTTATAGCGCGAGAACAAAACGACGACACAGAGACAAGAACGACATGAAAGACACGAGCGCTAACTTCCAACTGAGTTTATTGCGCAGAGCGCAAAAATATATAGAGGAGACAGTAACCATGTGACAAAAACCATATGGCACAGTTAATCTCCTCTTCCTCCGCTAGTTACAACAGTAGCTAAGGAGGTAAGATGTTTGAGGTTCTGAATGGGCCCCCTCGATGACTCGAGTGCACGGTGGCAGCGCGAAGGAAGAGCCGTAGTCCGGTCCGCGTTCGCCTTCGCGGAACCGATCAGCTTCGTTAGTTGACGAGATGGGAGCTGGCTACGTGCTCTGCATCAGCCGCATTAATTGCGCTACACCCAACACGCTGGTAATTGGTGCCTCATACTAACTCCTCCCCCGTCAAGAGTGTTACTGGATACTCGATGTCCAGTAACGCGATACAAAAACAAACAAAAAAATCGCTCAAAATAAACTCACTCTCGGTGCACATGCGTGAACCAATTATCACTTCCATCTCAAAAGGAGAACTTTCGCGTCATTTTGCGAAATAGACACAGCAACACATATACATAATGCTCTCAAATGGTCCTCCGAAATAAAATTCTCGTAATGCACAACACTGAATAACGCATTCAGAATGCTAAGTCCACAGTGCCAGTCAGTTCGCATTAGCTTGTCACAGGGCACACGCACACTTGCTTAAGAAAATCGGAAAACGTGTTGGAGTTCGTGTCCTGTTTTCAGCACCGTTCAAATTAATCAGCCTCACCAAATCTACAAACCCCCTGAAAACGCAGTCATCAACGGAATGCAGATTTCAACATAGAAACAGGTATGCGACCTGCTCCCGGGAAGTTGTCTATAGGACCCCCCTTTCATGCGGTGCTTGTGATGTCGGAACGACTGGAAGGTTTCTGAACGATCGGCTGAGAGAACACGCTAACAATGTTAGAAACGGGAAAGATGGTTTTCTTGCTCAGCACTGCACTGAGTGCAATTGTGTGCCCCTGTGATGAGTGAAGAAAACGACAACGACGGAAGTGCGGGGCAAGGCGCGTTTAATGTGCGCGTGACTGTCAGCGAATCAGCTGATGACCAGTGGTGGCCCATAGAGGTGGCGTGCCACGATTGGGCCACGGGCGACCATCACGTGGCAGTGGGCTTTGTGGCTGAGGACGAGTTGAAGCAGCGGCAGACGGGAGACAGCGGGCCGAAGCGTCGGACGCAGGTGATCCAGGTTCCGGC